TGCACTACGGCTTATAAACGATAGTAATCATTCAGTATGATGTGTTTATCAAAGTACCATGATATTATAACTAAAGATTGCAGAGAAGCACAGCCTATTAGGCAATTGCTTATAAAAAATAGCTATATATTTAACTATGTATACCTATAATAACTATAATTTGTACCGTGTGGACAAAAAACGTCTTGAAATTCTTGGCCTCGGGGCGCAACTCTGGAGACCACGGGATTTCCCCCTTCAGTACTTTATTCACAGGATCCACGTAATATAGATGTGGTCCTTCAGTCAGTAAAAGCTGACGGCGTCGAGCAAAGAGTCCCTGTGAAAATGACAAACAAGAAAGGGTTAAAAACACTTACCAAAGGAAACCAAAAGAGGGCGCTATTTGTTTTCTCACTAAAAACTTACATTTATTTATTTTTTTTAAAACATGCACCTGTTTCATACCATTTAAGATAAGAAACAGGAAGGAAAATGTTACCTTTCTTTTGTCAACGGGTCCCATTTTATATATCAAGTTATTTTCAACAAACTGGTGCCTTTGAGACAGAAAAAAAAAACCCACAAATGTTAATGAATAACAAGCTGGCAGTGCTACCCGTGTTGTTGACCGATTGAAAACAGAACTATAATGATCAAGAGTTTCTTTTACAACATGCAATAAAAAAATAAAAAAAAACTCATCAGGAAATGTGTGAGATTTAAACTAATCATTATTACTGCATACACCCACACAATCCCTAACTATGTATAATAACAAAATGAATGTGTGTTTAACTGTGCTGTACGTGATGATAATTTAATATTTAATCAGAATGAATGTTTATGAGCTGGACAAGTAATTTCTGAATGAAGGTTGTGACATACCAAGGGTTGCCTCTTGTTTGCTTCTGCAGCAGAAGTCGTTTCTCCTCACTGGAGAACTGCAGGTGCAGCTCAAAGGAGTTGCTGTCCAGGTCATGGATGTACTGCTCAATGTTGCTGCAGGGTCTCAGTGGGACGATCTGAGATGAGCTGGATGGAGCCACCTGCAGGCTGCTGAACTGACTGAGGAGATCTTCATACTGTGGGATCCAAAGCAAACAGCAAATCAGTACACAGTGACCCAAGACGCAGTGAGACTGCAATTGGAAGCTCACAATTTGTACCATTAACTGACCATACTCACTTAAAGATTTTACTTTTATTTAACCGGAAGTTGTGGCCAACTTTACTAAAATACTGTGAGGTAATTCTGAAGATCACTGAATGTGAAAAAAATAAGAGTGAAGCTTGATTTTAGCACACTTCGTCACCATCTCTAGCTTACAGACGACTGACGTTTGGAGGAGACCGTTTAAGGACTCTCTGCCCATTAGAGAAAGAATGGGAAACTTTTGGATTTTAACTAAAGATTACGACAAAAAAAAAAAAAAAAAAATGAATTTCTTTGCACAGGTTAATTGTTCAACACAATACTGGTAATTCCCGCAAAGTAAACAAATAGAATAGGGTCAGTTTTGATTTAAAGCAGACTTTAAAGAAAACATGAAATGGTATCTGTAATGTCGGACATAAGAGATCAATTCTGATTAAAAACAACAAAATAAAAGGTCCAAACAAAAACAACGCAACAATAAAACAAAAAGAAAATCTCAAAAAAACAAAGACCAAACAAAGAAACACATAACAAAGACCAAACAAAAAAAAACCACACAAAACAAATACCAAAAAACACAAAACAAAGACCAAACAAAAACATAGAACAAAGACCAAACAAAAAAAAAACACAGAACAAAGACCAAACAAAAAACACAAAACAAAGACCAAACAAAAACACAAAACAAAGACCAAACAAAAAAAAACACACAAAACAAATACCAAAAAACACAAAACAAAGACCAAACAAAAAAACACAAAACAAATACCAAACAAAATAAAACACAAAGACCAAAAAACACAAAACAAAGACCAAAAAACACAAAACAAATACCAAACAAAATAAAACACAAAAGACCAAAAAAACACAAAACAAAGACCAAAAAAACACAAAACAAATACCAAACAAAATAAAACACAAAGACAAAAAAACACAAAACAAAGACCAAAAACACAAAACAAATACCAAACAAAATAAAACACAAAAGACCAAAAAAACACAAAACAAAGACCAAAAAACACAAAACAAATACCAAACAAAAAAAACACAAAACAATAAACAACACAACAATAAAACAAAACAAAAAGCCCAAAAAAAAAAACAAAAAGATAAAAAAAACATCAATACATCAAAACAAACAAACAAAACTAATTAAAAAGTAAAAAAACAACAACACATCAATAAAACAAAAGCAAAAAACAAGGGAAAAAATAACACCCAAATAATAATAACACCCAAATTTAGCACAATAATAGTGGATCATATGTAAGATAAGTCTGACTAACATTGCCATAGTAGTCTTCATCATCTTCAGCCATGGCTGGTAGGTAAGGGGTCAGCTTGGGTGGCATCTGAACCGGCAAATTATCCCATGAGATAGTCTCAAAGAACATATGGCCTTTTAGTGGATTGAACCCACCCATTTCCTCACATCCTAGCCGCTTTCTAGGGTCCAAAGACTGAAACCAGGAGATAAACAATGAATTTTCTTCATATCAACAGAAAGTGAAGGTATATAATAAAAACAAACTATTATTACCAACAGTCGCTGAACCAGATCTTTAGCTTTAGGGAAGAACTTCTCAGGAAATTCATATTCCAGCTTTGTTATCTTTTGGAAAATCAAGTACTCGTTCCTATTAAAAGACAAAAGCAAATCACTAACTCAGCCAAATCAATATCAACTGAACGGTTTGTAGTCTCACAACGGAAGAGCTCTTAATAATCAGTTTAGAGAAGGAAAGGGTTCATTTATAGTCACGTGGTTCAGTGTTTTGTTTTTTAAAGGCTGTCTGAGCCAATTTATTGGTTGTAATGTAACCAAAACTGCAAGCGGGTCACGTGACCCAGTGGTTGGGGTTTCCTCAGAAGCCCTCTGTACTGTCTACACAAACAAGTCATAAACACCAAAGCCAACATTTCCTGTTATTTCACACCATGTTTTTAAAAACTGCAATTACAACAGTGATCAACCACCAGCACCAGCACTAAAAACGTTTAATTGAACTAAATCTGAAACGATCAGTAACTCACCCAGCTCTAAACGGAGGCAATCCGGCCACCAGCTGATAGATTATGCAACCCAGAGCCCAGAGGTCCGAACTAAAAGAGAAATATCACAGAAAAAAAAAAAAAAACTAATTTGAAGCAATTGACTGACATCTTAATCTGGTAATATTGCGCTATTGCACATTAAATGGCAAAACCTTTTGCAGGCTGATTTTTCCGTCAGAAGCTCCGGAGAAACGTACTGTGCAGTGCCGACAAAAGAATTGGCTCTTGCTGTAAAGACAAATCTTTCAGGTTTAAATTCAGGAGGGACAAACATCATCACATCCGTAACCCTGCTGACAACTCATACACTGTTTTTGGTATATGTAATCAAATAATTGTAATTAATGTGGTTCAGATAACATAATATTTTGAGTTTCTGATGATTAAATCAACCGCCTTCATTGTATTAACTCAATTTTTTCAATTTCAATGAACTTAAAATTTTAAAGCAACCAGGTTACTTAATTTAAGTTAAACCAACAATATTTTTTTTTACAGTGTAGAAGAAAAATGATAGACCGTCCCATATTTATGCTACTTGAGCACTGTTGGGAGTGTATCTATAGATAACAAACACTTCATGTTTGTTATGAAACGTTATAAGGAAGTTAACGACAGTTGTTATGAAAAACACAACCAGAGCAAAGCAATTCAATGAAACATTCATGAACTATACGTTACTTTGAGAGCTGTCCAAAGACAACTGTTTCGCTGTCCCGAAATCCGTAATATGAATGTGCATGTCTTCGCTCAGTAAGATGTTCTCTGGTTTAAGGTCCCTAAATAAAAACAAATAAACGCATATTCAAAAATGCAAATTTCAATCAAACCGTACTCTTGGTCGAATTACCTGTGAATATTCCCAGTGCGTGCAAATACTCGAGTGCACAAACGATCTCAGCAGTGTAGAATCTCGTGCAGGTCTCATCGAATGAGCCTATTTTGCGAATGTATCTAAGTAGTTCTCCATTCTTTGCATAACTGAGGGCGAAATCTGACAGATTACAAGTTAAGAACATTTTAACAAAGTACTAATGAGTTTAACAAACACAGACCTGATTGCATAGCTTCACAGCTTAACACCCTGACTCCCCAAAAGGATACAAAGTT